TATTTAAAAAAAAAAAAAAAAAAAAGCTCAGCTAGCCACGCCTCTATGAAGCTCTCTCTGACACTCTTCTCCCATCCATCACTTGATAACATTCTTCAAAATGCAATGCTACTGTCTTCAGATCTGTATTAGTTTACCTTTGTTACTATTAAAAAACATATATATCTGAAACTGGGAAACGCTTAAGTGTGGGCGGTGTGTTTATTCAGCTCGCACAACAAAGCACAGCACTGCACTGACTCTGGCAAGAGCTCCCCGGCTATGCCACCTCATGGTAAGATGGCAGCATGGTGGGCACAAGTACTAGAGGGCAGAATACCAAGAGGAGGCAGGAAGCCACAGTGTGGGCGAGGGGCTGGGTGGCTCTTGGAAAGAAACATAAGAACCCATTATGGAGAGGAGAAAGGATGAGAAGAGCTGCCTGATGTGTTCCCTCCAGCGATGAGGACAGAGGATGCATGGGAAAGTCAGGGCCTCACAGATGCCTATCACTGAACCTGGAACGGAAGGGAATTGAAGCCTTTCGTTGTGTGGCATTTTCATCATTTCTCAGTAATTGCATCAGTTTTATAATTTCTTCCATCGCTGACTCCCCCAGAAGCCCCAGCATCTCCTGTCATCTGTGATGTGGAGGTAGCAAGGGATGGTGTTTGCCTTTCCAGGAAATTAAAGACTGCCCTTAATAACTGTGTGCGTCATCGGCACTGGTTGCTGGATCTCAGATGTGGGCAGGGAAAGGATATGAAAATGTATAAGCAAGAAAAAAAATCTTATCTCTTCCCTAGCTAGCTCTCCCTTGACAAGAAATATCTGCAAAGTCTTTTTTTGCATTTCTAGTGTTCTCATCAAAGAGCCTATTTTTGCTAGGGTGAGAATAGGTCCAGCGAGTACTGAAAACTCTTTGAACCCATAGGAAATTGTGGACCCCGCCTCCTCTTTCCAGGATCACTCTGCTGAGCTGCTGTTTACTTAAAAGAACAAACATGCTCCAGTGTTGTATTTCAACATTTCAGGATGCCCAGAAGGCAAGCAACTGGAGCACTAATAAAACCCCCTGTTCTCTTTTCTCTGCGGATGGGGTCAGAAGAAACATGTGCTCTAGTTTTATTATTGTTTTATATCTTGGGTATTCCCTCCTAGTAAAGGTCAGGAGAGGTGCTGGGCAAATTGTTCCATAAACACTGTGCTTCAGACTGAGCCACTCGACTCAACTAAGTCTACTAGAGTTCAATAAACTCTAAAGGCAGGAATTTCAGGACCAAAGCAATGTTTTCTAGTTTTGTATTTTTTTTTCCCTTCAACCTAACGGCCTTAGGATCTCTGAAACCTGACAAGTTACGTTTGTTGTTTGCTTAAGAATATAACAACCAAGGGCTGGGAAGTTGGCTCAGTGGTAGAAGCGCTTGTCTTGCATGCCTGAGGCCCTGGGTTCGATTCCTCAGCACCACATAAGCAAAAACGAAAAAAGCCAGAAAGTAGTGCTGTGGCTCACAGTGGTAAAGCGCTAGCCTTGAGCTGAAGAGCTGAGGGACAGCGCCCAGGCCCAGAGTTCAGGCCCCATGACTGGACCAAAAAAAAAAAAAGAATATAACAACCAGCTGGGTTTGGGCAGCTCATACCTGTAATCCTAGATACTCCAAAGGCTGAGGTGTGGAGGATTGCAGTGGAAGCCAGCTCAGGTAGAAAAATCCAAGAGATTCCATCTGCAAATTAACTAGCAAAACTCTGGGCTCAAGTAGTAGAGAACCAGCTGAGCAAACACAAGGCCATTAGCTCAGTCCCTGGTCCTAGGATCACAGAATAAAATAATAAAAATAATAATAGGGCTGGGAAGGTGGCTCAGTGGTAGAGCACTTGCGTTGCATGCCTGAGGCCCTGGATTCGATTCCTCAGCACCACATAAGCAAAAAAGAAAAAAAACAGAAGTGGCACTGTGGCTCAAATGGTAGAGCACTAGCCTTGAGCTGAAGAGCTGAAGGACAGCGCCCAGGCCCAGAGTTGAGGCCCACGATTGGACCAAAATAAATAAATAAATAAAAATAAAAATAATAATAGCAACCAAATTCCAAATGCACATACATACTTTCTGACTCATAAATTCCAGTGATGAATATGTACCCTACATGTACATTTCACAGACAAGAAGTACTTTGTGCAATAAAGTGTGACTTATGATTGTAAGGCCTGAGGCCTGATTGTACACATTTACAATCCCAGCATTCTAGATATTGAAACAAGTTTATGAATTCAAGGCCAGCTTGGGCTACATGAAGAGACCTTATATCAAAATAATAAAAAGTAAAGATAGCCTGAAATAGAGGATAAGTTACATAAATTATGGTTCAGCTACACAATGGGATTATAGGCAGTAGATAAAAAGAATAAAGTAACGCAGGCATTAGGAAACTCCAGAAGATGAATTAGCTGAGTAATACATACAATAGTATGTACAATATGCTACAGAGGCACAACAGATAATGTGACTGGAAGAATTTTTTTTTAATTTTGTATTGCACAAGGCTGGAGGCATTACTCAAGCAAGAGTGCTTGCCTAGGAAGGCCCCAAATTCAAAAATCAGTACCACCAAAAAAAAAAAGAAAAGATCCTCATTGTTTTGATGATTTGGCATATTGGAGTAGGCAAAAGGCCTGGCTTAGTAATAACCCTTTGTATGGAACATATTGTCTTCTCAAAAGCCCTAGAGAGGCAGGGGCAAGAGGATTGCAAATTCAAGGCTAGCCTGGAATACACAACAAAACCCTGACTCAAAAAAAATAAAATAGCTGTTTGGAAACTAAGATCAGGGGATTGCAGTTCAAGAAAAAGCAATTGAAAGCCAGGCATCAGTGGTTCACGCCTGTAATCCTAGCTACTCAGGAGGCTGAGATCTGAGGATCACGGTTCAAAGCCAGCCCGGGCAGGAAAGTCCGTGAGACTCTTATCTCCAATAAGCCACTAAAAAACCGCAAGTGGCGCTGTGGCTCAAGTGGTAGAGTGCTGGCCTTGAGCTGAAGAGTGCAGGGACAGTGCCCAAGCCCCGAGTTCAAGCCCCAGGACCCACCAAAAAAAAAGCAATTGAAGTTTGTAAGTCTCCATCTCCACCAATGACTTGGTACAGTGGTATGACATAGTGTCCTAGCAACCAGGTAAGCACCAATAGGAAGACTGCTACCAAGGCTGACCCAGGCATAATAGAAGACTGTCTCAAAAGGACAGACTCAAGTGGGCTGGCAGAGTGGCTCAAGAGGGAAAGCACCTGCCTGGCAAGTCCAAGGCCTTGAATTCAAACTCCAGTACTGGGACCCAGGGGATGGGGTGGGGGGAACTACTCATTGTCAATTTACCATAACTAAAACCATAGTGTGGATGGCTTATAAATGACAGAATTTTATCAAGGCAATTCGTATCTGATGAGGGTCTGCTTTCTGGCCCATACACAGTGCTTCATGCAGTGTCCTCACATGGTACAAGAGACTCTAGGAGCCTCATCACCCCTCACTGTCTTTCCTTCCTTTATAAGGATGCAAACTCACCCATAAAGGCTCTGCCCTCATCACCTAACCATACTCCAAAGGCCCGATAATAAATTACAACCTTCTAAATTTACAATGTTAAAGCAGAAACAACTTTTCAAATTGTTTTAAAATACAATTGAGCCAGGCACTGATGGCTCACACCTGTAATCCTAGCTGCTCAGGAGGCTGAGATCTGAAGACCTCAGTTCAAAGCCAACCTAGGCAGGAACGTACATGAGACTCTTATCTCCAAGTAACCACCAGAAAACCAGAAGTGTTACTGTGGCTCAAAGAGACAGAATGCTAGCCTTGAGCAAAAGAGCTCAGGGACAGCACCCAGGCCCTAAGTTCAAGCCCCATGACTAACAAAACTAAAGTACAGTTGAAGGGCTAGGGATGTGGTGCAAGTGGTAGAGTGTGTTTGCTTAGCAAGCATGAGGCCTTAAGTTCAAACCCCAGTACCAGCAAAGGAAAAGAAAGAAAGGAAGGAAGAAAGAAGAAAAGAAAGAAAGACAGAAAGAAAGAAAGAAAGAAAGAAAGAGAAAAAGAAAGTTGAATATACATATGAACACTGGAAACAGTATTTATTTCATTCCATAGAGTGTAGACAAGTAATTTCGCATTTCATTTGAAGACAAGAGTCAGAAAACAGTTAGTGTAGATCCAGCATTAATAGAGATCATGGTATACCAAGGAAATATTTAAATACAGAAACACATTACCAATTGGTTTCTTTTTTTTTTTTTTTTTGGGTCCGGACATGGGGCCTGAACTCTGGGCCTGACGCTGTCCCTCAGCTCTTCAGCTCAAGGCTAGCACTCTACCACTTGAGCCACAGTGCCACTCCAGCTTTTTTCTTTTTGCATATGTGGTGCTGAGGAATCAAACCCAGGGCCTCAGGCATGCAAGGCAAGCGCTCTACTGCTGAGCCATCTTCCCAGCCCCTACCAATTGGTTTCTGTAAATAGTATTACCAGGAAAAGACAGAATATAACCTACTTGGATCTATGAGTCTCAATTTGTTCAAATAACGGAAGAAACTAGTCTTCTAAAATGTCCTCACTTAAAAAACACATTGTACTCATTACCTAACCCATGTCATTGTAATCCCTGTATACATCACATAATAACAATAAAGTACATTTTTTAAAACACAACATATTGAAAGATGGGGTGTAGCTCAGTTACAGAATATCCACAAGACCCTGCATTCAATCCCTAGCACAAAACAAACAAAAAACTCATCCAGACAATGAGTTTAAAAATGGAGGAAACAACCATACTTAGTGACTCCCAAACATGAAGGGGAGGGGGTGGCAGGAAAGGGGTTGTGGAGAGTCAGGGTCTCACCATGCAGCTCAAACAAGCATCAAACTTAACAATCCTTCAGCTTCACCCTCCCAAATGCATATGCCACCATGTCCAACTCAAACATGACATTTTTAAAGATATGTACAAACACTGCATTTTTAGCTGCACAGGAGGTAGACTTCGGGAGCCAGGGACATTTCATATTTCATAGTTTCTGAACTTCCTCAGGAGGTCTGAAGGAGCATCTGCAGACCAGCGGAAACGAAAGTGCCAACAGCTCACATCTGAATCTTTCGAAGAGAGAAAAGAAATATTTTAAATGGAGTGTAAGGGGAAAAAATGTCAAGATTATACTAGTAAAACAGCTCAGGGATAAGATTTCAGGGTAAAATATGTGATTAAATCTCTGGTGTGAATTATTAGTATGTACAGAAACAGCTTATCAAGTACACTTTGGAATTCTTATAAACAGGAAATATGCTTTGTGTGAGAAGACCTCACTTGCTGAAATGCATCATAATAATTCTAAGGATGGGAATTTAACAATTTACCTAAAAAAGAAATCTGTAGCTATGCTCACATAGCTTTCAAATACTTCTTTTGAAATCTGAGGCTCAAGTTTCAAAGCTATGCAGCACGGGCAGGAAACTCTGAGATTCTTATCTGCAATGAACCAGCAAAAAGCCAGAGGTGGAGTGGTGGCTCAAGCAGTAGAGCATCAGACAAGATTAGGCAACACAGACAAGAATTTGAATCAAAATAACTTTGAAGGCAATCTCAGGAAGCACTGGTAGGCAAAATGGAGAAGGGATCAAACATGTCAGAGGTGCATCATCAAAATTATCACTTTCAATGACTAGGGGACCCTAGGAAGTAATATACAGTTGGGTTATCCAACTGGAGAAAAAGACCTGAAGATTTCAGCCTCCTTCTCCCAGCCATTAGTTTATGGCTGCATCTCAAGGATGTTTACTACAGGCATTTCCTTCCTGCTCATTGCTTGCCAAGTAGGCTCTATTGGCAGAGAAAGACCTCTGTGGATTTTCTCAATGTTTGTAGTGCAGGTCTCAGAGCTGGCAATGCCTGGACAGGTAAGGGTACCCAAAGGATGCGGCTGAACACCAACAGCATCTGCTGCATGAGATTCTTTTTTTGTTTGGTCCAGGATGTTACACAAACCTGTCTGATGCTACAATTGTACTTACTAGCATTCTGCTTCTGTTTATTGTGTATTGAAACAAAGTAAAGGGAGACAGCCTTGCACGCCAGTTTCCCAGTGCTGTGTGCACATTTTGCTAGTAGTTGTAATGTGATAGGGACCATAGAAAAGGTATCAAAAAAAACTCCAAAGCAAATACAAAGCACTGTAATATACATGAAGCCACTCAGTGCTTGATAAGGCTGACAGGAGTGATATCTCTGAAACACTGATGCTATTTTTAAAAAATGTATACAGCAGTAAGGTGAAATGAAATAATCGTGCAACTGCACTTTGATATAGCAGACTCCAGCTTTAAGGTAGTACTTAGAGTCATCAGTAATCTCCTAAATAGCACTAAGGGGGAAAAACCATAGTAACTAGCAGAATTTCATAATAATTCTCCAACCATAGCTTCTTGAGCAAGAATCAAGGAGGTGAATATCAGCAAAGCACGTTATATGCATTTATAAAATTATCACAGTGTAAGCTAGGCACCTGTGGCTCATACCTGTAATCCTAGCTACTCAAGAGGCTGAGACCTGAGGATCACAGGTCAATACCAGCCCAGGCAGAAAAGTCCATGAGAGCCTTATCTCGAATAAACTACTCAGAAAAAGCGGGAAGTTGTGTGCTATGGCTCAAATGGTAGAGTGCTAGGCCTGAGTACAAAGAGGCTCAGGGACAGTGTCCAGGCCCTGAGTTCAAGCCCCAGGATTGGAAAAAGAAATTATCACAGTGAAACCCCTTTGCACAATTAATATACAGTACTTTAAAAAAAAAACAGTAATCTCCCTAGTACTGGCCCAAAGTGGAAATATATCTGAGCATCCACAATAGAAGCAGAGGAGGATGGGACACTAGAAGAGACACCAATTTATTGAATATTTATAATCCTTTTATTCTTTTTCATGATAAGCTCATATTGCTGGATTTTTTATATTGAAATAACTAATTTCTAAAAAAAAAAAAAGTTCATAGAATCCTGAAGAAAGGCTCAACTTAGTCCTCAGCAGCATCTCTGAATTCTAAAATGTCCAAGCCAAGCTCTCTCCCTTCCTCCCACACGCAGAGTCTCTGATGAACACAGATGAGATCAGACTCAAAAACAGGTTCTAAGGGCTCGGGAAGCTTGGAACTGAACATTCTAGTGCTGAAAGGAGAAATATTTTGAGTCTTTGCCTCCATATGTGTGTGTGTGTGTGTGTGTGTGTGTGTGTGCATGTGTGCGTGCGCATGCACAGGAGGTGTGGTATTTGTTTAAAACACTGTTTTGTGAAAGTCAGGTTCTGCTTTGATCACATTTGTTATGTTATCGTCATTGCCAATTACAAAGCTGATGCAAGCCAAGAGCTGACTTGCAGAGACCTCTTGACTAACCAGCAGCGATGTCAGAATCAAATTCTAAGAACTCTTCCTCCCAGCAAGTCGAGAAGACATAAAACTTCTCCAAAACAGAAAACTTATTATTCACAACAAACTGGTTATCTTTTTTTTTTACAAGCATCCAAGAATATTCTAAAACCTTCTGCTTAAAAGCTCAATTCTAATAGTGTGCTACACCATCATCCTAGGACTCAACAAGTCAGAATGTGAACAATTCTAGCATATGTATATTAACACACCTAAACTAGTTAACTCAGTCAGATAGCTAGCTGGGCAAACTAAAAAAATAAGAATTGCTAAGATTTATCCATAGCATGCTATTCATTAATTCCCATTTAGTCCTATCGTAACTCTCTGAGCAGGTATTTTTATAATCCATTTTATTGATGAGGAACCCCAAGTCTAAGAAATAAACTTTTGTCAAGTAATACAGATAATAAGTACTAGAAGTAGGATGTGAACACGGGACATTGAATTTTGCAGTGGCCTACTTCAGGAAACCTATCAGTGACATACACATTATAGATGAAGTATCATCTCAGGATACTGCAGCATCTTGGAATACAGACTCTGAAGCCAGACTGCCTTCTGCCAAGCTGCCTAACCTTGGGCAAATTACTTCACCTCTCTGGGGTTCAATTTTCTCATCTGTAAAATAAGTATATCAATAATGGTACCAGTTTCCCAATCTCCTAGTGAGGATTAAATAAGCTAATCTATGCAAAATTAATATTAAACGAGGCAATCATGTACAATAATATATTTAAATAATGTTCTTGCACATAACAAACATGCAACAAATGTTAGTTAGTGCCATTTCAATAAAGCAAAAGACATTCTGAGAAATAGTTCAAGTTCCCTTGGAAAAAGGGTATTTTCCACTTTCTACATCAGTGCAAAGTACTGGACCTCCTACTTTTTAAGCAACAGTCTATCATTTGAGCCACATTCCTACCCCATAAAGTATCTCTTAAGATGTTAACCTAATCTTAAAGTTTAGCTAACAACTGTGCACATTGGAAAAAGTTGAGAATGAATACAATGTACACTGCCTGCCCCTCCAGAGCTGTGTGACATGACTTACTTGGAGAATCTGGATTTGGTGGGGAGAGTGACTTGGATTCTTTCTGCTTCATTTTCTCTGCAATTGAACTCAGATCCTTTCTCTTTATTTCTCTTTGCTCATTCCAGTCCTCATTTTTACTCTTGTTGGTATGAGTCTGGTCAGATCCTTCCAGCATCAGGTCTTTCTTACCTCTGACAGCCCAGTGCATTGACTAAATTAATTAAAAGCAGACACATAGATATTAAATACAATATGGTTTTCTACATTTAAAGTTCAAGAAGATGTATAACACCTTATCTACTATTATAGTACTGGCTAACAAAATGTTAGACTTGACTATTAACCATATATTTATCAATTAATCAGAACATTAATGAATCCCTATATTCATTAATTAATATTCACTAGTTTGGTAACATGCTAGAGGAAGCCATATTCTGGTCCAGAGCAAAGAAACCAACATTAGAGAGAGTCAGAGAATGAGGTAACCCAGCAATTCCATTCAAAAAAGTATACATCAAATAATTGAAAAGAGATATTCAACTACCATAGGAGCCAGATGCCAGTGGCTCACACCTGTAATCTTAGCTACTTGGGAGTACAGATTAGGAAGCTCTTGGTTGAGAATTAGCTTGGG